TGGGTTATCCTGGGTGGCTAACCCTCCCTACCCTAGGTTATCCTGGGTGGCTAACCCTTCCAACCCTGGGTGGCTAACCCTTCCTACCCTGGGTTATCCTGGGTGACTAACCCTCCCTACCCTGGGTTATCCTGGGTGGCTAACCCTCCCTACCCTGGGTTATCCTGGGTGGCTAACCCTCCCTACTCTGGGTTATCCTGGGTGACTAACCCCCCTACCCTGGGTTATCCTGGGTGGCTAACCCTCCCTACCCTGGGTTATCCTGGGTGGCTAACCCTCCCTACCCTAGGTTATCCTGGGTGGCTAACCCTCCTTACCCTGGGTTATCCTGGGTGGCTAACCCTCCCTACCCTGGGTTATCCTGGGTGGCTAACCCTCCCAACCCTGGGTGGCTAACCCTTCCTACCCTGGGTTATCCTGGGTGACTAACCCTCCCTACCCTGGGTTATCCTGGGTGGATAACCCTCCCTACCCTGGGTTATCCTGGGTGGCTAACCCTCCCTACTCTGGGTTATCCTGGGTGACTAACCCCCCTACCCTGGGTTATCCTGGGTGGCTAACCCTCCCTACCCTGGGTTATCCTGGGAGGCTAACCCTCCCTACCCTGGGTTATCCTGGGTGGCTAACCCCCCGTACCCTGGGTTATCCTGGATGGCTAACCCTCCCTACCTCCTCTTCTGTCTTCGACAAGACTAAGGGACTGACTCCTTTCTCTTCCACTGTCCTCTACATAGTTCCGTAAAGCTGGGGACAGACTACCACATCTATCTACTTCTATTCACGTCCGTGTCCACCCGGTGAAGTTGTCAGTCATATGACCACGGTCTTTTCCCTGGCAGATGACACCACATACGTCTTCTCTCACCCGAGCCCAGTCACACTAGCCAATACTGTAAATACCGAATTACAGAAAATATCTACCTGGATGAGGACTAACAAACTTACACTAAACATTAACAAAACCTACTTCATTCAGTTTGGTAACAGAGCTACAGATGTCCCTCTTAACATAATGATAAACGGATCACCTATCACAAAGCTAACAGAGGGAAAATTCTTAGGAATCCACCTTGATAATAGACTCAAATTTCATACACATATACAACAAATTTCTAAGAAAATTTCCAAGACTGTAGGCATACTATCGAAGATACGGTACTATGTTCCACAGTCAGCCCTCCTGGCCCTATATCACTCACTTATTTACCCCTATCTCACCTATGGAATTTGTACATGGGGCTCAACAACAATTAACCATCTCAGACCACTAATTACCCAACAAAAGGCTGCAGTCAGAATGATAACAAATTCCCACTACAGGCAGCACACTCCACCAATATTCAAAACACTAAACCTACTCACAATACAAAACATCCATACTTATTACTGTACCTACTACATACATAGAACACTAAACTCGGATATAAACCCTCCCCTCAAACATCTTACCAACCTCAACAGAACACATGACCATAACACAAGGCACAGATCACTCTTTGATGTTCCTCGTGTCCATCTCACACTATGTAAAAACTCAATGCACATAAAAGGCCCTAAAATCTGGAATTCATTACCTGTGAATATAAAAGAAACACTGTTTATAAATTCAAGATTCTTCTCAAAAATCACTTACTCACCCACAACTAAATAAATACTGAATAATTGTATCTCAAATTTATAACCTGTGACCCTATCAAACTATATATTTTTTTAATTACATCACCTAATATAATACTCCATTCTCTTGAATACTCAGTAACACATCTAATGACCACGTGACCTGTTTCTGCACGACAAATCTTTGATTTTATTCAATTTAACCGGATTATATTATATATTGTGTTACAAATTTGTACAACTTTAATGTTTCTTATTTAAAATACTCATTTGTACTTCATGTTGTAATTTGTTTACTGTAATTTTTACCACTGAATATATCATTGCTTAGTTAATCTTAAGTTAATTTTAATCGTGCCCATAATTTTTTTTTTTTATTCGCCGGTATTCTCCCGGCCCGGGTCTTTTCCAAGTAGTGGTGACCCGGCCTTGGCTCCCTATCTGGGGAGTGTCTCGAGACTTAAGTCTGCCATGGGAGGAGGTACAAGTACCCCCTCATCTTTGGGACCAAGTGTCCCCAGGCCTAGCCACATTCCCCGCCCTCACGGGGCTCGTAGGGAGAAGCTAGGCCTCTGGTCTGCCATCTTCCCCGCCTCAAAGGGGCTCGTGGGGATGGCAGTCTTATGAGCCGCAGATGGTAGCAAGCTCAGCCCTCGTGCCCATAATGTTCTGCATACAAAGGGTTTTTGGCAGGTACAACCAATCACTATGTATAATGTCCAAATAATAATAAATAAAGTAAATAAATAAAGTAAATAAATAAATAAATAAATAAATAAATAAACAAAATAAATAAATTGTTGATTTGTACGGGAGAAATAATTTTGCTCGTTGGTACGACAACTCCACCAACTTCCAGTCTAGACTTTATTTACGATTCACGTAACAAATACTCTTTCAAAGTCTTGAAAAAATCCAGATCTACTTGCAAATTCCATACTATATACATATATTAACACTACTTTAGTTCATCCATTGTTTTTGACTCCAAATTTTGTGTTTTTCGATTAACTGATGCTTGGCAACTCAACTTGGAAAAACAGCGACTGCCACAAAGTTATGGGTCTTTCTTTGTTATTCCTTGCCATGGTAATTAAATATACGTAACACGAAGTAACTACAAAGACTAGGGAATGCTTCAGGGCCACAAAAACTTGATAAAGTGTTGTCGTAAAGTTGCAAAGTGCCAGTAAAGCTTGGTGAATGTTGGGAAGCATGGTGAGGATGGGGCAAGTGAGGTACGTCAAGGTTGAGTTGTGGCTCCCTCGCTAAATGTTAGCTCAGTACCAGTGTGTGTGTTGACATCGCTTCAGTATGTTGATATACTTCCAGTGTTCAGCTCTAAGATCTTGATACCTAGCTGAGAGAGAGCTCTCTAGTAAATCTAAAGCTAGAGGACCCCATCTCGAGTGGTGTTCAGTCTAGAGGAACCCATTTAGAGTGGTGTTTAATCTAGAGGAACCCATCTGGAGAGGTGTTCAACTTAAAGGAACCCATTTACAGTGGTGTTCAACCTAGAGGAACCCACCTAGAACGATACGATACAATTTGGTGTCGTACCTTACCTAGCACTTTTCTAGTATCGTGGAGGGGACTGATCTCCTAAGTGGCCGCAGACTCTTCAGTTCTTGTCTACTGTACAGCGACAGTTAAGCGAGGTAAGTCCATCTAAGAGCATTTCCATCAATTCTATCTAGAAAACTAACCTTCGTGACCTAGAATCCTAGACTTGCAACTTTCCATTGCAACGTTATTCAATCTTGACTTGTTGCACACTAACACCCAGGTACCTACTTAGTGCTAGATGAACGGATAGCAGCTGTAAGGTGACACACCCAGGTACCTACTTAGTGCTAGATGAACGGATAGCAGCTGTAAGGTGACACACCCAGGTACCTACTTAGTGCTAGATGAACGGATAGCAGCTGTAAGGTGACACACCCAGGTACCTACTTAGTGCTAGATGAACGGATAGCAGCTGTAAGGTGACACACCCAGGTACCTACTTAGTGCTAGATGAACGGATAGCAAACTGTAAGGTGACACACCCAGTTACCTACTTAGTGCTAGATAAACGGATACAGCTGTAAGGTGACACACCCAGGTACCTACTTAGTGCTAGATAAACGGATAGCAGCTGTAAGGTGACACATCCAGGTACCTACTTACTGCTAGGTGAACAGTGGAGTAGATGTTAAGTGACTT